TGCGTCAGATGTTGGTTCCCGCCATTCTCCCCGCCCCCCACAACCTCCTTATCACCGGAAGGGTGGTCGTATAGGTATACATAGAAACAGACACCTATATATAGAGAGAGATATAGAACAATTAACATAAACACAACAAGAGAGAGAGATAATAAAAAAGCAAAGCACAGATATAGATAGTTACCAGGAGAGAGAGAGAGAGAGAGAGCGCGTGAGAAAGAGCAGGACATATAGTGCAGTGAGTATGAGAAGAGAGCAATGAGCAGAGCTGGAGGGCATGGAGCAAAGAGTGGAGGGTACAGAGTGGATGAGCAGAGGTCCGATGTAGGAGGGGATGGTTCAGAAGCAGAGAGAAAAGGGTGAAGGTACGAAACCTATATCATGGAGTGGGATGTCGATCCAAGAGGGTAGACGAGCAGAGAGAGACAGAGAAGAGAGTAGGGGAGAACAAGGGGGAGACAGTCGAGAGAAGAGCGAAGAAATGAGAGAACAGAAGGAACATAATTCGCCGTTAATTGCTCATACCCTCCACCTGCACACTGCCGTTATATATACACACATCAACATCTAGATATATATATATATATATATGTGTATATATGCACAGACTTCTACATCTATGGATGTGTGTATCGCACGAACACCTGATAGGGGCGTGTTGAAGTGCGATATACGTTCCGAGGGGGACAACCCCCTTGATCGCGGGCGGTTTCAAGAGTTCGACACACCGACCCTCAACTACGGGCCATTACCGCCTCGAAAGAGTTCCAACATAGCCTCGAGACACGGCCAGGCAGCCTCGACGCCAGCATACAATAGCACAGAGACCCCTGAAGGCTTCAAGATGGCCCCAGAACGACACACGAGGCCTCACGAAGCCACCATGAGATGCCCAAGAGAGCGCAAACAACGACAGACTCAAGGCTTCATGGTTTGCTGCTTCCGATGCGCTTCAGCTTGAGATTGGTGCAGAGGGCGCCTAAGAGCCCACGCCAGTCACAGACGACTCCAACAGGCCGCCGAGACGGTTCACCAATCACCCTGGACGGCCCGAAGCAGCCCCAAAGGGATCCCCAAAACGGCCTCAACACCTGAGCAAATCACTCCCACGCCGGTCCTCCTCCGGGGCCGTCTTCCCCGGGGGGGGGGGTCCCAGGGGGGAGTCCTTTTCCTCCTCCCCCCGAGAATCCCTGGGACTCCCGCCTCGCGCCCTCGACAAACACGACTGCATACCGCGGCCTCCAGACCCCAAGTTGTCCCGAGAGTCCCCGAGTCCCTGGGACTCCCGCCTCGCGCCTTCGACAAAAACGAAAAACACAGCAATACACAACATAATACGACAGAACATAGCATAGCAGTACCATGACAACCAGCGACATAAAACAACACGAAGCACACATCATGGCATAACGTTACATATGATAACACGACATACCACACCATACCATAACATAACTGAACATAACGTAACACTCATGGACGGACCATATCATATTATGACGCAGCGTTCAGGACATGCCATAGCACACCAACAGAGCATAGCGACGAACACGACAGAACACAGCGTGTCACAATATAATGCAACATCGCAACACACGATCATGACATAACATGACGGAACATCATCTGATAGTGTCATTACAACACATACCATGACATAACATCACATAACATGCCCCATCACACCATGCCATAAGAGCACAACGTAGCAGGCAGAGCACGACAGAGCATAACATCTCATGACATGACATGACCGAACAATGCATAGCAGGAGAGGACAGAACACAACATAACATCGCATAACATCCATTGCATAGCATAACATAGCAAACCATGCCACACTACAGCATAATAAGATCACAAACCATAGAATGGCAGAACATTGCAGAACATAACATGACATGTCATACCATAGCATAACAAGACCAAACATAACATAACACACCTTGACGGAACAAATCGTATCAGTACACAGCGTTCAGAACATGTCATAACACGCCGACAGAGCATAGCGACGAACACGACAGAACACAACACGCCACAGTACAAGATACCACAACAGAACGCGACCATGACATAACATGAGCAGTATCATTACAAACAAGGCCATGCCATAACATCACATGACATACCATATCATATCATGCACAACATAGTTGACATAATCAGACATAACAGAACAGAGCACGACAAATCATGGCAAATCAATGCATAGCACGAGAGAACAGAGCACAACATAACGTCACATAACAAACCATAGCATAACGTCACATAACAGATAACCACAGAACACCAGAGAACAAACCAAACAAGAACACAAGATAACATCGCAGAACAAACCAACACCAGGCCAGACCCCCAATTGCCCCGAGAATCCCAGGAGTCCTGGCCGCCGCCCCGCTGCGGGCAGCCTCCTCGCCCGCGTCCCTCGGTCTGAGGATGGGAGGGGGGAACGAGGAGGAGGGGAAGGAGGCATAGGGGCAGGAGAAGGAGGACAGGGGCCCGAGGTTCCAGTGGGGATCGCTCGAAGCAAATCATTTTCAAGCAAATTTGCCATGCTTTTTCTCTCATGACGTTCTCGTTTCATCATTGGTGATGGCTTTGCGGGGGGGAGCGTTTCCGAGCTTTCGTTGATAAGTAAAGGGGTATCGACCCCACCAGGACATGGCCTGGCGGCAATGCCGGCTGTCCTGCGCACACATCTCTCCGCTCCCTGTACAGCCGTCTCAGCGCATTACTTCATATCTCGTTGTTTGTTCTATATCCTTCCCGTCCTTCCATTATTCCAGGCTTGCGCTATGTGTTCACACGAGGAATTTTCCTCCAGGACACATCCCAGTGTCAATGCTGGCTGTCCTGCAGCTTCTCACACACTCATCCAGCAGAGCATTCTACATGTGCAAATCACACAGCTCTACATTATTCAAATCAGAGGGGCACCTTATTGGGGACAAGGTTTTCAGATCTTCAAAGTCCCTGCCCATGTAGACCCGGAGACCCTGCCGCCACTCGCTCACGAGTGGCATCTGGCGGTGGGCAATGATTTGGCCGACGGGCCCGAGAAAAAGGGCGCCCTCTCTTTAGCCCAGCCGTCGGCGGCCGAGAGACAGAAGTGGGCAGGAGAAGCGGCTACGATCGGGAGACAACTCCTGCACGCGGGCCAGATCCTGAAGCGGTTCCCGCAAATTGCGCCCACCGAAGCGCTGCGGTCCCAGTTCGGTAAAAACCTTCGCCAGGAAGGTTTTGTCACTGGCGTCGGCGCTGCCAGGAATCTTCTCCCCTCCCCCCCTCCTCCCCCCGTGCCGCCTGGGCAGCTTCGCAGGACAGCAACCCGACCAGAGCCGACCCAGCCCGTCCAAGACCACCAATGGTCTTGAAAAACGCTCGCGCTGGGTTTGTGCAGTTCGTCTCACATTTGCAAAAGGTGTTGACCGCCCGCAACGGCTACCGTGCGCTGCCCGGGCCACCACGCTGCGAACACTCAACTTGCGCTGAATCCCCGCCGGCGCGTCATCCGGTTATCCAATTACTCATTCGGCGTGGTCTTGATCTGCAATGCCTGCGGGGCGTATTCGGAATCGGGAAATTTCAGGAAGCTCAAGGAGGATTGCAACCAAGAGTTCACCGCCAATGGGGCCAGGTACTCCTGGGATCGTTTCGCTAGAGGCCAGCAATCCGATCTCAAGAAAGGGACAGCCAAATGCTTAGAGGAGTTCATGTCCCTAAGCATGTTGTTGCAATCGTAATGCTGTGCGTTCTCACCTCTGTCCCATCCCCTTTTCAGTGAACCTGTGTCCTCGTGTCGCCGTCTCACCGCCATCTTGCCACACTCCGCTTGCATAGCTCCCGACCCGTGCAGGGCTTTGTGTTCCAGGTGTCCAGGTTCTCGGGTGCAGGTTGCCGCAGATCGATAGCGGATGGGCCAGCACGCCCGAAATGCAATTAGCAGCATATGTGCACTCGCCGTCGCTCGGACGTCCATTTCCCGTGCATGTTTCGGTTTCGTGCGTGTTTTTTTTTGCTCGTTGGTCGAGGATGGTCCTCGATGGTTCTCGCCGGGAAAAAAATGCACACGTCCAAGCGATGCCAGGTGCACTGCAACTGTTGTGGCTCGAGCGGGAAACATATGTTCCCTCTCCTGCGGCCACATTGGGGGCCCTCATGCATGGACCCCGCATGTTGGAGCTTTGACCCCCTTGCCAGTCTGGGCCATGGACATGCTGGGGCTGTGGCCCCTCGTGCGTGGCCAGCTGCAGTGTTGACCCCACGTTGGTTGCCATGCCCATGCTGGGACCGTGGCCCCTCGTGTTCGCCAGAGTCCTGTTGGGGCTGTGGCCCCTCATGGATTCCCACTCTTCCTTTGAAGGCGCCAAGCGACGCGCACTAGGGCTCGAAGCCCTGATTCTGGTAGCTGCCCCTCTAATGTCCAGCCACCTGGGGCCCTTCCACCCCGAAGGAAGAGTATCGTCTTAGAGTCCTCCTCCTCCTCCTCCTCCTCCTTATCTCCGCCTCCTCCTCCTCCTCCTTATCTCCGCCTCCTCCTCCTCCTCCTCCTCCTCCTCCCCCTCCTGGTCGTCGTCGATATCTTTCAGGGTCGGCGGTACCGGCCATCAGGCCTCCACAATCACCTCAAGACGGGTCCACCGAGCTGGTTCGGGAGAGTTCGGTAGAACCATACCGCCCAAGATGGCCCCACGACGGCCAGGAGGCCCCCGATGAGCCCCAAACCCAAAGAGATCCCAGAGAAGGCCCCATGAAGACTCCAGGGCGCATTCAACAAAGAGAAGTGGGACATTCAGGCAGAAGGAGAAAGGGGAATGAACACGGCGCTGAGGACAAGGAAGACGTGTGGAAGACCCGCTCCAATTCCGACAGGGTACTGAACCGATTCACAAATTCTCCTCCTCCTCCTCCTCCTCCTCCTCCTCTTCCTCGTCCTCCTCTTCCTTATGCGCTGCTGCACCGGCAGTACGGCGGGAATTGCCGCAGGCAGCTGAATCCCGGACATTATCGGGAAGCTTGCTTCCCCAAGCGCAGATCAAGCGGTCCTGTAGGATGACCGGCGGCTGGACGCCATGAGTCCGAACAGTCATGAGAATGTTTAGTCCGTCCTCCCGCAAACGCTCATCATCAAGCTGCCCGGCAACCAACGTGAAGAACCTGGTACGTGCGTCTGGAGGCATCGTGCTGAAATGCGTCCATTTGTCCTCGTAATCCAGATCAGCTCCCAGAATTTGGTTGAAGAATTCCAGAGCCATGTCCACGTCATTCCTCTGGATGCATCTGAGTAAAAGATCTGGATACACAGATGGCGTTGCCTGGTCGATGACATGCGCATCGACCTCAGATTGCCCCGCCTCCTCCGCTCCGACCGACATGTCCGTGGCATCCTCGCTTGCAGTGGGGACCTGTGTGCCTGCGGAGCTGCGAGAAACAGACCGTGGGGTGTTCAGCGGCTTCTGGAGCGAATCTGACTGGGGCTGTGTGGTCTGGGCCTCTTGGCTGACCTGTCGACCAACTTCGGGCTGGGCCGCGTCGATATCGTCGAGAGCTGCAAACATCGCATCGAGGACCTCGGCCCGCATGGGTGTCGTGCCACTGCCACTGCCTGACCTCTTAGCCGACTGCCTGGTGTTGCACTCGCCTTCGTGGGTGATGCTTTTGGAACGGACAATCTTCTTCTCGGCGGTGCAAAGATGGGGCCCTGAGGTATGGGGCCGTGAGAGATCGGGGCCCAAGGATAGGAAGGGATCCCTGGTTGACGTTACATACTTTGAGGCCCTAATGCTGAGGGCCCCATCCATCACGGACCCATCGTTGACCCGCCGATCTCAACTGAAGACGCTTCGCCATTTCCGGCGGCTGTGTACTGAGGCCGGCCGGTCATGGACCCAACGTAGAAGGCACCGGCCGACAGTGCCACCAATATAATCGTGTTCAGCATCTTTGCACACGAAATTAGCTGGCTCAGGTGGGAGAAGGCGAGGTCGACAACGACGCACACCGCGGCAAATACTCCGATGTGGAGTAAGTAACTGTCGAGCTTTCCATGGTGAAAGGAACGCATGTGAGACTTCGGGGACTGCATAGCTGCACGAAGTAGTACACTCCTTCGAAAACGCAGGCGAGCTGGACGCCAACAGCAGATCAGAAAATATAATGGAGTAAGATGATGGTTGGATCGGGTGCGGTAAGTATAGCTGTGACTGTCTGGGCTCAGTCGGCCAGATCTCAAGACGTCAAAATGCTGCGGCAGGAGGAGGAGGAGGAGAAGAGGCGGACGAGCAAACGGGGAAGGGGGAGGACGGGGGTGGGAGGGGAAGTGGGGGAGAGGTGGAGAGGGGAGGAGCGCGAACAGAGAACGGGAAGGACGGAGAGGGGGAGGAGAAGGACGGAAAAAAAAGAGGGGAGGAACAGGGAGGAGGGGGATAATGAGGATTAAGGGAGGAAAGCGCGACGAGGGCCCGAACGACTGTTACGATAACGGTTTGGGAAGCAATTCTGAGAATGGGAGGCAGGAGCACCTACGGGATGTGAACGGAGAGTGGGAGGGAGGAGAACACCTATGACTTACCCCGCGCTTGCGCCGAGGCCGGAGCGATGATGCGGCCCGTTCCCGCAGGGCATTGCAAATTCTGAGATCCGCCGACCCCCTGTTGGTCTCCAGGCGTGTGAGATTCTTCCCCCCCCCCCAATCCCCTCCTGGGGACCCCAAACCGGCAATTTGACCCTCCCCCTGGCCGCGGACGGCCCACCCCCGAACTCATCGGGGGCGGTCCGGGCTCCGCAGGCTCGGTCTGGAGCTCCAAGACACCCCGTCAAGCCTCCCAAGACACCCAAAACGGTCCAAGAGAGCCCAGACACGCCGAATGATCGATCCGAGATGCCCAAGAAGCCGCGAAGATACCCACGAGTCCTCCAAGATGCCTCCCAGGAAGCCTAAGAGAAGCCAAAATCAAAAAAAACCATTGGGAAAACAAACATTTCCAGCATATACGACTTTTCGGCCTGCGCGGCGTAGAAGAACATCCAAGAGGCGCACCCCCCCCCCCACGAATCCCCCAAGACAGCCCCAGAGGCCAGAGGCACCTAAGACGGCCCAAAAGTGCCCCCAGCATGCCCGAGACAAGGCCACAGAGGGGAACCTCGAACCGAAACTGTAAAGTTTCAGCCCGAAGAGACGCCCACGAAGCCCGAAGAGGCCCCCGAGAGGGCCCGAGAGGCCTCCAAACAGCACCCACAAGCCCCCAAAGGCACCCAAGAAGCCCCAAAGAGGCGCCAAAACGGCCCCCAAGAGCCTTCGAACCTGCCTCCACGAGGCTCGCGCGAAGCCACCCCTCGAGATCCCAACGGATAGCTCCGAGGCTTCATGCCCACAACACAGGCGCGGCGGCCGGATGGGCCGAAGGCCACGAGACTCTTTCCCGGAGTCCAGCCGCAGCGACAATGCCACCCCAGGCAATCCGATCCACCGCCTCAATAATCATTTCCTTCCCCTGGCCCCCTCACCGAAACATCGACCAACTCCCTCCCTTTCTAGCATTCCCTCCTCTTCCCGTTCACCCTGGCGGCCCCAAGCACTCGCGCGCTGCCACAAGCGCTGCCACGGGGCTCACGCGCAGGCCTTGCACTTCAGCGCAGGATGGCACCAAAACGCCCTCCAGACGGTCCAAGAGGGCCTCGAGACGCCGAAACATCGCTCCGAGACGCTCACGATGGCCTCCAGACAGCCTCCGAAGCTCCCATGACGCCTCAAAAGGCCGCCCAGATGCGTCCCAAGAGGGCCCCAATAAACAAAAGTCTGCCCATTCCGTTCGTTAAACGTATATGTTGAACAGATTCGCCTTGTGGGCTTTCACAACGTCCAAGAAGGTCTAGGAACATTCAATATCACCCAAAGACGGCCCAAGAACCCCCAATACAGCCCAAGATGGTCCCCAGTCGGCTCCAAGAGAGACCCCACAGGGCAATGTTTCAAGCCTTCGGCCCCAAGACATCCCCAGCTTGCCCCAAGGGATCCCCGAAAGAGCCACAAAGGTCCCCAGGAGGCCTCCAAGAAGCCCAAGTACCCCCCAAGAAACCCAAATACCACCTCCAAGACGCCCACGTGAGGCCTCCCGCACATCCGCCAGCGTGCCTGAGGCACGAATTGGAATGTCGTCGGGCGCCTTCGAGCTGTGTGATTTGTGTCTCTGTGTGTACATGTAGTTCTGATGCCCCAGGAGGCCCCAGGCCCCAGGCGGCCTCAGGACCCCCAGGAGACCCCAGGAGGCTCCAGGAGGCCCTGAGAGACTTCATGAGGCCGCAAGAGGCCCCAGGAGGTCCCAGTCATGAGGTTCCAGGAGACCCCCAGGAGGCTCCGAGGCGGGGTCTGGGATACCAGAAGGTACAGAAAGCCCCAGGAGGCCCCAGGGTTCCAGGAGGCCTGCAGGAGGCTCAATCGGGGTCAAAATCATTGGAATTACCATGTGATTTTGAAGGTTTTATGTTAACATGTTGAAATTCTCATGTGTTTTTGGACCCTGACGTCACGATCTGTGTGAGTGGTGCCACCGATTTTCAGAATATCGAGGATGTCCCTAGCGAAAGGGCCAGAACAATCGCGAACGACGCGGCGCGTACGCATTAATCACCTCTGAGCTCTACTCCCTTGGAGAGGTGCGTCTGAGAACATATATACATATATACAGCTACATACTAGAAACTAGAACCATCGCGCGCGCTTCGCGCGCGCTCAGGTTCTAGCAGGCCCCAGACATTGACGAATTCATTGCCCCACTGAAGTAATGGACCACAGTCCACGCATGCCACAGGTTCCGTGAGACCCAAAGAGCGACCCTCTTGGGCCGCTTTGGGCCCTCTTGGGTCTCTCTTGGGCTGCATTGGGGCTCCTCAAACGCGTCTGGGGCACTGCGAAGACGAAGCAAAAGAGTATGCTGAATCTGTCCGTTTTACTACGGGAACCGGCTGACTTTTGCCTCTTGAAGGCCCACTTGGGGCCCTCTTTGGCCATCTTCAAGCCATCTCGGGCCCTCTTGGGCCTCGCTGAGGCTGTCCTGGGGCCCTGGGAACCCGGAAATCATGTTCCCGGAGAGGCTTCCGGGAACATGATTTCGAACTGGGCCGTCTTGGGCCTCCCTGAGGCCGTCTTGAGGGCCTCCTGGGCTGGCTTCGGGGCCTCTTGGGCCGTCTTGGGGGGCTCTGTGAGCCCCACGGGACGACCCTTTTGGGCAGTTTGTGCTCTCTTGGGTCTCTCTTGGGCTGCATTGGAGCTCCGCGGGGGCGGAACTTATGAATATCCGCGGCGTGAGAGCCCGTCGAAGGCGGCCGAGGGCACGCCGCCACGCTGGCCCCGGGCAGGCTGTGCTGCCCGGCGGAACGGGACGAGGAGAGAGCGAGCACGCTCACAAAAATCCATGGCAACCGCTAGGGGAAATCAAGAGTTTTCTCCTCTCCCCCCCGTGCTTGGCTGCCCTCTGTCCTCGGGGATCGAGGTGGAGCATCGCGGCAGCGGGACTGGTTTCCCTTAGAGCGTGAATTACCTCCCCCGCTTTCGCTTCCAGGCAAAACCAAGCCATACCACGCGCCTCCTCGTCAAGCGGCCTGACCAGTACAGGCCGCAATTTGGCATCGTTTGGTATCTCTTGGAAGCGAGGGTGGTCAAAAGCGAGGTAGGTTTGTTTTCCCCCGATTCCCAGCAGCCCAAGACCGCCTCAGGGCCGCCCTAAGGCCGTCGAGAGCCGCACTCTGGGTCGCCTATAGTGGCCGCCTTCGAGACAGCGGAAGGTCGCCCCGCGGCGTCACGGCTGCCACCCAGCCAGCAAAAGCAGCGCGGCAACAGCACACAGGTCAGGGGGACGTAAGACCTGGGTACAGGGGACTCGGAAATCCCCGACGAGGTCGTCAAAACAATGACGAGGCCGAGCCTGCATTTTGACGAGGCCTCCCGCTGCAGACATCCCACGAAACTCCTCCTCGTCAAAATCCGAGGCGCGGTCGTCAAAAAAC